TATATGAATCAGAGTTCCCTTAACTTGTGATGTTCCCAAAGACTTTGAACAGGGAAATAGAGGTATCAACTTCTGTCTCAGTTTGCCACCTACCCTTCCTTCTCTTCATTTTCATCCCATCTTGTATTTTAAACATATCCTAAACTAGTAAAATTAACTCAAACTAGGTTCCAGATATAGTTTAGTCAGCCACTCTGCCACCAACTCCCACCAACTCCCCCAGAGCATTCCCAGCTTCTCTTTACTTTGGTTTCCATGGGAACCTATGTTTGCAGGAGACTCTGAAGGCAGATGGTTGAACTGGGATGCATGCAAGAAGAGGGGAACCAGGGTAAGGCCAACTCCAGTTTCAAGAGTGGATGAGACCCATGCAGGCAAACATCTTTGGGACCCATGGTGGTTCTGTCTTCACACTGAGCTCACCTCACAGGTACAGTGGAGCAGTGGCTCAGACTTACCTCTGGGGGTACATCGAAAGGTTCCACCTCAACTTCAGTTGAGTTACTTTTATCTGATGCTTGCTGAGATTTTCCATCATCGGTTTTGTCACCTTTGTCTTTACTGGATCCTTTAGAAGATTTGGTGTCTTTGTCCTTGGAAGACAACTTGAGGCCCTTCAGGGCTTTGGAAAACTTAGACTCCTGTGCCCCTCCTGAGAGGATCTCCACAGCAATCTCTACCAGGATCCTTCCCCTGAATGACACGCCTTCTCCAAAGCCTTCATTCAGTTCCTGGTAGTCATCCATCAGGCTGTGGTTCCTGGGTGAACCATACAGGTTAATCCAAGCAGGTCCAAAGGTAGGTAGAAAACCTAGGAAGACCTCAACTTTTAGTTACACAGGCAGGTTTTTAAATTTTATTATCTTTTGCTTTATAAAAGCTTACACTTATTATTTTTTTAATGTAGATTGTACAGATAATACAAATAAAATTTATAGAATATTTTATCACCAAAAGACCATCATTATTGCCATTTTAGAAGCCCAATAGGGAGTCCTGGAGTCCTGGTGTGGCACTGTGGGTTCATTTACTGGACTGCAAGGTTGCTTTGAACTGCAAGGTTGGCAGTTCAAGTTCACCAACCACTCCTCGGAAACCCTACATAGGGTAGCTATGAGTCAATACCAACACTACAGCACTAAACAACAACAACAATAGGGAGTCCTGGAGTCCTGGTATGGTGCTGTGGGTTAATGAACTGGACTGAAAAGTCAGTTTGAACTACAAGGTCGGCAGTTCAAGCTCACCAGCTGCTCCTCAGAAGCCCTATACAGGGTCGTTATGGGTTGGAACAGACTTGACGGCACTTAGTAACAACGGCATATGGAGTCCTGGCCTGGCACTGTGGGTTAATGTGCTCCACTGCAAGGTAGGTTTGAACCACAAAGCTAGCAGTTCAAGCTCACCAGCTGCTCCTTGGAACCCCTATACGGGGTTGCTATGAGTCAGAACTGATTTGATGATGCTTAACAACAGTGGTTCAATGGTCAAGTGCTTGGCAGCTAACCAAAAAATTGTTGTTAACTGCTGTCAAATCGGTTCCGACCCACAGCAACCCTGTATAAGGTTTCTGAGGAACAGCTGGTGAGCTTGAACTGACCTTGTGGTTCAAGCAACTTTGCAGTCCAGCACATTAACCGGCAGTGCCACAAACCCACCAGCTGCTTTACAGGAGAAAGACGTGGCAGCCAGCTTTCTTAAGGATTACAACAGCTTTGGAAAGTGTAGGAGCAGTTCTCCTCGGTCCAGTGGGGTGCCTGTGAGCTGGCATTGGCGCAATGACAATGGGCAGTGCCACTTGTCTGTATTTCCCTCCAGTCTTTTTTCTATGCCTATGTTTACACCTGTACATCCTTTGTTGCTCCTTCATTCCATTATGTTTATTGATTCCTTTATGTCAGGCAAACAGCTCTGGTAGCACAGTGATTATGAGTTAGGTCGCTTACCTCAAGGTCAGCAGTTTGAAATTGTCAACTGTTCCGTAGGAGAAAGATCAGGCTTTCTGCTCTTGAAAAGACTTACAGCCTCAGAAACCCCATGCAGGGTCACTATGAGTCGGAACCGACTCCATGGCACACCACCATACCATACCATGTGTCAGGCACCAGACACCATTAAACAGAGTTCAGGGGAGAGCAAGGCAGATACAAACATGGCTTTATTAATGCCCTCTGTCTCCCTGAGCTGCTCGGTTAGCGGAACCTCTCCTTACCCGCCCGAGGCTCCCCATGTGCTGTGAGCAGCACCTCTCTGTTGGATTGGTGCTTTGGGGCACCCATCAGTGAGTTGGGGGCACAATACTTTTTGGAATATTTAAGCATATAAAAATCATTTTTTGCTTGTGGGCCATACCAAAACATGTGGCAGACGGGATTGGCCCATGGGCCATACTTTGCCAACCCCTGGTCTAATATCTAAGCTTCTTATTGTCCATGAGAAAACCTGAGGTCCAGACAGAGAATGGTTTTCTTAGGTCAACTGTGATGTTGCCAGAAGACCTGGGGCCAGAACCAAAACTTCTGGATCCAGAGCTTGGCTCTGTCCAGTGTCCTGTACCAACCCCAAACCACCACGAAGAGCACAGAAACATGAAGGATACCTAACACCAGAGATGTATCTAGTGGGTGGCAGGTATGGCATTTGCCTTGATGGGGGTACCAATAAGCAGTCTCTCTTGGCCATGACAGTTTCCATTGTCAGCTCTGAGAGATCATTCAGAAATTTGAAGTGAATTGCCATTGGCACTATTTCCCATACTTCTGGACTCCTGGTGTGGCACTGTGGGTTAATGCATTCAACTGCAAAGTCAATTTGAACCAACAGGTCGGCAGTTCAAGCTCACTAGCCACTCCTTGGAAACCCTATACAGGGTCTGTATGGGTTGGAACTGACTCGACCGCATTTCACAACAAGTTGCTCAAACCCTAAAGCAATCATTTCCAAATTAGACGCAGGTGACTTCACCTTTATCTCCTTCCTGTTCGTTGGAGATCTTCTTCAAGTCAATGAAATGGGTGGCCAGCGTCACATCGTTCATGCTACCTTCATCCCATACCTGAATTTTCACCCTTCGACACAAAGGAGGGAACATTTCCTTGAAGATCACCTGTTCACGCCACACAGGATCAGCACAATTCTTCTGCACTGTGGTTCGCCCCTAAACACAAAGCCAAGAATGTATGAGCTGTAGAAGGAAGCTGTGGAAAAGTGGACTTAGACTGACCAAAGAAAATGCTCTCCCCAACTAGAAACGTCAGGTTCCCAAACCAATGAAACTGCTTCCACCGGATCCCCATAAAAATCAAGTGCCCCCAATAAACGTGACTATGAGGTGGATTGAACCATGGGCTCAAACACAGCAATCATTGTAAACATAGTACAGGACTGACAGTGTTTTGTTCTATTATATGTAGGGTCACTGAGTCATCCTGATAGCACCTAACAACTCTGTCCTGGACACACTGCCAGGTACCTATCGCGGACAAAGGTGAGTGAAGACAGGTCTCTGCCCTCAGGACTGTCATCAGGGTATGAGGTTGGGGTGAAACTAACACCTGTGCTTTGAGCATTTTTACTCCAGACAGCTCCAGAAATAACATCATGAGACCCTTCGTTTGTGTCTTATGAAAAAGTATGACCTCCTCAGAATCACGTTCCCAGTCTGGACCTCAGTCTAATCATAAAATAAAGGTAATGTCTCATACGACCTCCATGGCCCTTCCAAATCTGTGTTCACCCCTGTGCAAGGGAGGGGACAGGCAGGCCCTTATTCTGAGGACAGAGACAACATAAGTGTCAGCTGACACTTCAATCTGTCCAGCAAGAATTAAAATTTGACTGTGTGCACAGGCCTGGGATTCTCAGGAATAGTGATTTCCCCTTTTATACGTGTCATGGATTTAACTGTGTTCTCCCAGACTTGTATCAACTTGGTTCAGCCACGCTCCTCAGTGGTTTGTCAGTTACGTAATGATGCAATCACACCCCGGGCTGTGATCTAATGTTATCAGCCAATCCGTTGAAGGGAATTAGGGTGAGAGCAACACTCTCACCCAGGACACAGCCTTGGTCAAATGTATGGGGACTTTCCTTGAGAAGTGGCCTGCATTCCTTTTTTCTTACAAAAGACAAAGGAAAAGAGTAACTAGCAGAGATGGGGGACTGACTACCACCAAGGAAGCAGAGCGAGAAGCAGAGCATGTCTTTTGGACCCAGGGTCTCAGTGCTGAGAACCTAGACCCAGGGGCAGATTGATGCCAGGGTACACGAAGCTCTCCGAGGACTGCTGGAGCCCACCAATATCAAAGGAAGTCAAGGGCCTCCCCCCTCAGAGCCAACAGAGAGAGACAACCTTCCCCTAGAGCTGACACCCTGGATTTGGACTTCTTGCCTCATAGACTGAGAGAGAATGAATTCCTGTTTGTTAAAGCCCTCTACTTGTGGTATTCTGGTGTGGTGCTGTGGGTTAGTGCATTGGACTGCAAAGTCGTTTGAACTGCAAGGTTGACAGTTCAAGCTCACCAGCCACTCCCCAGAAACCCTATGAAGGTTTGCTAAGGATCAGAACCAACTCAACATCACTTAACAACAACAACAACAGGGAACTCAGGAGGAGCTCTGATGATATAGTGGACTATACGTTGGGCTGCTAACCCCAAAGTCAGCAGTTCAAATCCACCAGGTGCTCCATGGGAGAAAGGGGAGGTTTTTTGCTCCCATAAAGATTTACAGCCTTGGAAACCCTGTACAGGGTCACTCTGAGTTGGAACCGACTCCACGGCACATAACCACCAACCCTGGAGTCCTGGTGTGGCCCTGTGGGTTAATGTGCCAGACTGCAAAGCCATTTGAACTACCAGATTGGCTGTTCAAGCTCACCACCTGCTCCTCAGAAACCCTGTACAGGGTCGCTCTGAGTTGGAACGGACTCAATAAACATACAGCCAGCCAGATAACTAAAATTAAGAAAAATGACCACCTGTTGTTCATAGATCGTGGAGCAGATTGGGAGGGAGGCAGTAATTCTTTAAGGCCTGATGACTAGGTAGTGGCTCAGAGAAGCTGTCTGAAGTGAGAGAGGAGGCCTGCTGCCACCTGAGTTTCTAAACAGTGATCCACCAACAGCCCCTCCCATTGTCTTTAATAAGAATGAGTGGCTAGCCCTCCCTGCTTTCTTCCTCATCTGACCCATTGCCTTTTTATGACCTTTTATGATTTCTCTGTCAAAACAGCACTGGATTATTTTATTATTTTAACTGACTTTTATTTGAATAAAAATATCCTGGGTAGAGGGCAGGACTGTGACATGGACCTGCCAGTATCTGTTGGTGACAAAAGTGACAAGTGCTTCCTTACCATCTGCCCAGCAAAGGAGACCTCCACGAAGGGATCAACAAGGTCCTTACTGTCACCTACAAAGGCTTTGGTGACATTTGCCATGATGCTGGAATTCATTTTGGGCAACCCTTCTGCTCTGTAGAGTCTCACATAGAATCTGGCCCAGGGTCTTTCGGATGGAAACCCTTGGGGAATCAAAAGGTTCCTAAGAGGAGAATAAAAATCAAAATTAAAAAAAAGCACACATCTCACTTTGAAAGAATAGAGAGCAAAAGTAGAATCACTTTGTTCTTGTTGTTATATGCCGTGGAGTCGGTTCTGACTCATAGTGACCCTGTACAGGGTTTCCGAGGCTGTAAATCTTTATGGGAGCAGAAAGCTTCATCTTCCTCTCCAGAGGCTTGAAAAGAGGCTCCTGATGCATGAGAAAAAGCTGAACAGATTAGGACTTATCACTGAAAGGAATTTTCTTTCCAGTGGAAATGACTTTGAAACAGATGAGTAGAGTGAATACAGACTAAGTCAGGTCTTGGGATTCTAGAATCAACACAGTCTCCCACACTGTACCTTAACAGAGATACATTTAAGACTTCCCACTTCACAAAGCACAGGTTAAAACAGTAATTCCTTTGAAGAAAGATCAGGTAGGCTTCAGAATAACTTTTATACAATGGCCTGTTGTAGGAAGACAGACTGTGTTCTAGAAGCTGGTTTCCCAGTGCATAACCATGCCATTGATAAAGTCACGTCTTGGTGCCCCAATACAGCAGAACCCCAGGTGGGCAAGCCATGAACCTGGCAGTTGTTATGTACCCATTAGCAAAGGGGCCGAGGGGGGGAAAGAGGCACTGTGATTAAGGCACATCATTTCACTCATCTCCCTGGATGGCCCTGTCTTACTTTTCTATTTGTTCCTCAGCATCAGAGGTTTTGGGGTTGGTCTTCAAGACATCGCCTTTTCCAGTCACGCTGATGTCACACTTCAGGTACCCCTTGGTGCCGGTCCTGATGTCTCCAGGGTCTGTTAGCAGCGCCCACTTGTCACAGAACTGATGACCTGTAAAAATACCCTGATAGCTCAGATGTCCTGCCAGATGGACTCAACAACTCCACCCATCTCTCTCCCACCCCAACCCCTCCTGTATGCTCTTTTCCCTGTTGTTCTACACAGTTGCTGTTCTCAGATCTCCCTCTCTTCCTTTCCCTTCACTCCACCCAATTTTCTTTCTTTTCCCCAGCAGACATGATGCATTTGTGATGCCTTCAACCTAGTGGGATTGATCTGTATCAGAGTCTAGCTCGGACTGAATATCTCTTGAGTCAATCCTAACTCATGGTAACTCTATGTGAATCAGAGTAGAACTGTGCTCCACAGGGTTTTCCATGACTGAATTTTCAAGAGTAGATTCCTACGAATTTCTTCTCAGGTACCTCTGTGTGGATAAATATGGTTCATGTACATTTTTGCTTGACCTAAACTGTGCTTCAAAATGTTCTTAGAAAATCTGGACTTCTAGCTTATCTCACAAATAAAAAAGAAAAGGTCTGGCAGTGCTGGGCCCATATTTCCACCGCCTCTTTTCTATGGGTCATGAGACTTCCTGCTTCCTTCAGGTCCCATCATTCCTCAGTGTTACTGTACCCAGCGCACTGCGCTCAGTCAGAACCACTGCCTGGCTCCCGTGGTCATGTACATCGGGAACACTGAGAAGGAAAAGAGGCTCTGTTCTTTACTGGTAGGTTCTGTTGCTTACCAGTTCGTGACCTTGGGCAAATTCACTAAATTTCAGTTTCCTATAAACCAGGGTACAACTTTTTAAAGTGTTGAAGAGCAAAGATGTCAGCTTGAGGACTAAGGTGCGCCTGACCCAAGCCATGGTATTTTCAATAACCTCATATGGATGTGAAAGCTGGACAGTGAATAAGGAAGATCGTAGAGGAATTGATGCCTTTGAGTTATGGTGTTGGAGGAGAATACGGAAAGTGCCATGGGCTGCCGAAAGAACCAATAGATCTGTTTTGAAAGAAGTGCAGCCAGAGTACTCCTTAGAGGCCAAGATGGCCAAACTTCGTCTCTCATACTTTGGACATATTGTCAGGAGGGAACAATTGCTAGAGAAGGCTATCATGCTTGGTAAGATGGTGGGTCAGAGAAAAAGAGGAAGACTCCCAACGAGATGGATTGGCCAGGTGGCAGCATAGCATTGATGGACTCAAGTGTGGTAACAGTAGTGAGGTTGGCCCAGGATCAGACATTGTTTCATTTTGCTGTGCATGGGGTCACTATGAGTCAGTTCTGACTCAATGGCACCTGACAACAACAACAATAAACCAGGGATAATAGTAATTATTATAACAAATCCTTATATAGTACACCACAGTCATTACTACGTGCTGGTCTGTGCAAGCATTTTATGTTTATTTATGCACTTCATCTTCCAACAACTTTGTAAAGTAGGTACAATATTATCACCATTTTTACAGGTGAGGAAATAAAGGAACAGAGAAGGAAAGTCATTTTCCCAAGGTCACACAGCTAGGAAATAACACAGTGGAATTTGAATGCAGGCAATTTGACTCAAGAGTCCCTATTCCTAACTGCCATCCTTTATTGCTTCTTCTGCCCTTAGTGTCTCACAATGCTAAATGAAAACAAATTTGTGAGAAAATCAAACTGTTCAGATGTACGGTCATTAAAATAAATTTACCATTAGGCTGTAACTTGTGAAGGCAAGAGCTATGTCTTGCTCCTTTTATATAATTGGCTCTCACTGAAACTGATGAAAGCGATGGATGGATGGATGGATGGATGAATAAATGAGAGACCTCCAGATTCAGTAAACCCAAAAGATATTAGAAGGTGATGCTTTCTTACCAGGTTGGATGTACACCGTCCCCAGGTCTACTTTGAAAGAGCCAATCAGAATGCTTCCTATCAGCTTGTGGTGAAAAACCTGAGAAGAGATGAGACAGTGAGTCCCCGCAGCAGCTCACGGAACTGTGACGTGAGCTCATGGTACCGCAAAGAGGATTCTAGGCCTTGACCCTCATCTGGCTCTTACTCTCCTGTGGAGCTGTAGGATAAGCACTGGATTGCAAGGTCGATACTTTAAACTCACCACCTGCTCCTTGGAAACCCTCTACAGTGTCACTATGAGTCAGAACTGACTTGACAGCACTTCACAACAACAACAACAACAACAACAGAACATAGTGAAGTTTGGTCGACAAACATCAGGGCTGTATTCAGTCAAATAGTAGACAGCCCTGTAAGGGAGTCCTGGTGTGGCACTGTGGGTTAATGCACTGGACTGCAAAGTTGGCTTGAACTGTAAGGTCGGTGGTTCAAGCTCACCAGCTGCTCCTAGGGAACCCTGTACAGGGTCGCTATGGGGTGGAATTGACTCAATGGCACTAAAACACATTAACAACATAAGATGATCAGTAACACCAGGGAAGTACACTCTCCTTAGACCCATCAACCAATGGAGATCAAAAGGGAAGTATTTTCCCAGAGACAAAATTCAGAAAGCGGGGGGGTGGGGGAGACCAGAAAGGAGGACCCATGGCAATGGGAGACACAGGAAGAAGTAGCACAAATGAATGCTGTCACATCCTGAGGACCGCATCAATGGCAAGGACATGAATTGTGTAAGAGAAAAACTGATTTGCTCTGTAAACTTTCACCCAAGCTGCAATAAAAACAACAACAAACAAGGGTGTAGAAGGCCTCCAGGAATATCTAGCCCATACCTCTTCCTCCTAGTAGGGTTTCAGCTTCAACCCCGTTTTAAAGGACACTTAATGACTCCCACTGCCTGAAGGTTTTCTTTCACCAAAACGCACAAATACCTGCCTGTGGAAAGGTTACGCATCACCCACTGCCCAGAGCAGATGCCATCTCCTCCAAGATGCCTTTCCTGACCCCCACAGCTGGAAACGATCCCTTTCTCTCGAACCCACCTAGTGCTTTGCTCACAACTTTCTTAGAGTATGTACTAGACATTACCTTGGAAAGTTTGGGAGGAATACAAGTTCCCAAGAAAAGAGGTGGTCTTCCTCACTATTCTGTCTGATCAGAAATCAGTGGAGTTCCTAGCTTGGGCTCAGTTACAGAGACACATTTTAATGTTAATGAATCAAAATGAGAAAGGTTGAAAGTAGCAGAGCTGGAACCAGGTCTGGAAGCCAAATTGTACCAGAAACTTTAAAAGAACCAGGAGGAGCATAACCTTTAACCCAGAGAAAACTGGCGTTTGTGGGAAAAGGATGATGTTAACTTAAGTGTCTTCAAATCTTAGGAAAGCTGTCATCTAAAAAGGGACTAGGTCCCCTGTGTCATTCCAAAGTCATAGGAAGACAGATTTCATATCAACATAAGGACAAGTTTTCTACATTCAGAGAATCCCAGCAATGGAACAGCCCAGCTTTCCTATTGGTAGTGAGCTCCCCATCACTGAAACCAATCAAGTAATGTTTCAATAATCCCTTGTTGTGGAAGTAGTGGAAGGGGCTTCCTACACCAGTAGACAGTTAGACTAGATAGTCTTTGAGCTTACTTTGAGCTAACTATAAAATTCTATGAGTTCTTGGCATCAAAGGCAGTTTCCTATTGTCCTCTACCTTGTTTATAATGGGCGCTTAAGAAAAATCCATTGATGAATAATTGACTGACTGAATGATGGATAGTTAGAAGGCTTTGGTGACTTCCAAACAGTTCCTTTGGTCAGAGATAATAACGAAACTATAAATCCAAGTGACTTCAAGAAACAACAGCCCTTCTCATTCCTTTCCCATCCTCTTTTCCTGGCCCAAACTTTCCAAGAGCGCTAGAGAGCTGAGGGAAAATCAGGACAGCCTTGTTCAAGCAGAGGACTTACTTAAGGCCATGCTCGCTGGAAACCTTCCCATCCCCCGCAACCCCCACCCCCACCCTCATGCTTGCAGCTGCCAATGTAGTTTCCCGGAGGTCTAAGCAAGAGCAGAAGTTTGTCCCAAACTTGGATCTTAGGTCAGGGGCCTGTGGCACTGCAGACAATTCAGGAAAGAGCCCCAAATGAACCTTTAAATAACACAGAGCCTTCCTCAAATCATCCAGCCATTGGTGAAGCGCTTGGCAACCCTCGTATGGGTCAAGCATGAGACCACAGGATCTCTGGGGCTCTCTTGCAACAAAAAGCTGAGGGCCCTGCATGTCTTAGGCCATTGCCAACAGAAGATGGTCTTTGGCACCACCTGGGTCTGCTGCAGCCTGGCTGTCCCCATAGCATCTGCTTACAGCACCTCCCTCATCTTCTCCCACATTGAGTTTATTCTGGGCTTGCTGACTTTTAGTTAGTTCATGAACCAGCGAAAAATGCTATCAAATGGCTCCTTCTCAGGGGAGTTTCCCTTGAAAACCACTGGTCTCTGGTCCCTAAAGATCCTAAGTTAGAGGAATGGAGATAGGAAAGTTTTGAATCTCTACGAACGTACAAAGCCACCTGCCTACAGAGTCACGATCCTTGTACAGGGTAGAAAACAAAAATCTAATTATTAAACATTCATTAGCAATCTAAACAGTCCCTTAGGTGTCTGCTATAAAGTCTCACAAACAGGTGGTTGCCTGAGTAATGTAACTTAACAAAGTCCTGGGCAGAGTCCCAGGTCCCAAAATATCTTCTGTCTCACTTGTAATCACATCTGAAATTTGAATAGTAAGAATGTTTGGCTCCTGATAACTTTTCATTCTTCAAGAGTCACATTCTTCAAGTGCCCCTGGGAAAGGTAACATCCTAAGTCATGACTACTTAGGACTCCAGGTGTGGCACTGTGAGATCTGCACTGGACTGTGAACCACAAGATTGGTAGTTCAAACCCCAATAGCTGCTTCTCAGAAACCCTATACAGGGTCACCATGATTTGGAACCAACTCAACATCACTTTACAGCCACAACTACTACTTGTACTGAAGCTGCAGGACTTAGGTTAGCAGTCAGCTGTGGTTAAAGGGATAAAACATGAGATAGAGACAGAGAAGGGAGACGCCAAGACCAATTTTGTTTGTTTGTTTTTTCCAATTCTGATTAGAGTTGATATTTCTGTTGAGGAACATTGGCACACAGAGTGTCCTTTCAGAACTATCTAGAAGAAAGAACTTACCCTTTGGCCAAAAAGTCCACCCCAGCCACTCTCAAACCTATACACGGTGGCAACCCTGCTCCATTGGAGAGGTGATGGGTTCACAGACTGGTGACATAAAGGTCACCTGTTTATTGTCCCTTTATGGCGTGCTGTTAAGTTGGTGGTGATCCTATTCAGCTTGCCCTTATGATTCATTTGGGCTAGTATGGTTTCAACATGGGTCTTTCTGTCCTGTATGAAGAGGGCACAAGCAGCTCTGGTAGCGTAGTGGTTACGAGTAGAACTGCTAATCTCAAGGTCAGCAGTTCAAAACTGCCAGTTGTTCCACAGCAGAAAGATGAGACTTTCTGCTCCTGTAAAGATTTACAGCCTCAGAAACCCTATGCAGGGTCGCTATGCATCGGAACCGACTGCATGGCACACTTGGATAAGGCACATGGTCACACCAGGAAGCTCTTGCTGTGTCTACTCTCCAGACTTGTGTCTGAGAGGCAGCAATTCCTTAGCAGGGTTGGGAAAGGGTCTACCAGCAGACCCAACGCCCCATGGGCAGGTCCTAAAATCTACACTCAAAGGTGACTATTAGGAAGCACCATGGTTGCCACTTGCTCCAAATCACAGTCTCTAACCAGACATTACCATTGATAAAACTATAAGGTATTTGGTTCCTTTTAGATCCTTGTTGCTACTTCTCTATTTGTTACCAACTGAGACAGCAAGGGGTGCGATTAATTACCGTCAGTGTGCAAAGCCCGCCAAGAGAGAAATACTCCCATTTACTTAATAAATGAAGGAAATCAACTTGAAGTGGCAAGCATAACAATGCATTTAAACCATGGGCTCCACATCCGCACATCAATAAGCTACACACCTCAAGTCATAATCGCGTTACTGCTGTAAGGAAGTACAGATTGTGCCTAAGATGATTTTCTTCCCAAACCCCTCTATACTGGGTATTTCCAGTTCCATTAGTTTCAGTCTCAACAACCCACACTCACCCTCCTGGATCTATTTGTCCCTAAGCATGCTGGGATATCCAGTGCCTAGACTCCCTCCCTCCATCCCCCAGTCATCCCCAGTGGTATACTTACAGAGATTTTGATGATCTTGTCAAAAAGATGCACTTGGGGCCCAATAAAATCGAAGACGAAGTACTGTAAAACACAAAGTTCATTTTGACCATCAACTCCAGGCCTGTCTGAGACTCCAATGCCCAGAGTGAGTTCAGATGTACATCATTCTTACCCACTGCTGCGGTGCTCAGTGGCATGAATAAAGACAGTTTCCAGGTTATGAACAAGATCTATTCCTAAGAAGGTCTTTGAGTTGGATTTGTAGGTAAATTGGAACAGGTGCATATAGTTCATATTTAACCATACTAGTTCTTATTTGCCCTTACTTTTGTAAGAAAAGGGGCCCTAATGGTGCTGTAAGGTAAGCAGTGGACTGCTAACCACAGATAGTACAAACCCTCCAGCTGCTTGGCAGGAGAAAGGTGACCCTTTCTGTTCCTGTAAAGATTTCCAGCTTCAGAAATTCTATATCGGGGTCTCTAAGAGTCTGAATCAACTTGATGGCAGTGGGTTTGGGGTTCAGTGTAAGAAAAGGCTGGGAGCATTTCCAGTGATTTAGAAGTAGCAAGTGAAGGCAGTTGTGCTGAAGAATTTGTTGCCTGTAGGTGTTGATTCAATCATTTCAAAGCAAGAGTAAGTTTACAAAGCATTAAAGGATAAGGACAGATTGTCCGTAAATTGGACATTCACAACTCAGGAACTTACTGTACACTATCCATTGACTGGCCATTCAATATTACCAAAAAAACAAAACACCAAAATGTGCAGTTATTCCCCTGAGAAATGGAATTATGGAGTCACATGGTATACCAGCTGTTCTGTGGGAGAAAGGTGAGGCTTTCTGCTCCCATAAAGATTTACAGCCTCAGAAACCCTGTACAGGGTCACTGTGAGTCAGAACCAACTCCACAGCACACCACCACCACCACCACCATGGAATGTGCACATACATTTTAGCAGTGTGACATTTCACTCCCTAGGGTTAAACCACTTGATATTCCAGTAGCAGCACAAATGGAGTCCTGGTGTGGTGCTGTAGTGTGGTTTTAATTCAGCAAGAATTTGATAAAGACTTTCTCAGAATTTTTCCATTTCAAACATCCCTATGGAAATATCAAGACTGATTAGGTAAAGAATGAAAAGAATTTATTGATGTGATAAGATTTCTAAGGTCAGAAAGTCATTTAATTTCAGAATTGAGGAAATTACCTAGACAAACAAATGAAAAGACCTAAGAATTGCAAAGATGTGGTTAGGGTTCTTAGATAGTTAACACTAGGTCTGAACTAAACCCTATTCTCCTGAAGCTATCCCACAATGGGACAATGAATAAGAAAGACCAAAGAGAAATTGATGCAACTGAATTACAGTTTTGGCAAGAACATCGAAAGTACTATGGACTGCCAAAAGAACAAACAAATCTGTCTTGGAAGGAATAGAGCCAGAATGCTTCTTAGAAGCAATGATGGCAAGACTTCATCTCTTGTACTTTAGACATATAGTCAGGAGGGACCCGTCCCTGGAGAAGAGAATCGTACTTGGAAAAGTGGAGAGTCAGCAAAAAAAAAAACAAAAAACAAAGAAAGAAAGACATAGATGAAGACACACTGGCACAGTGACCACAACAAAGGATTCAAAGAGCCCAACTGTGAGGTTGTGATAGGACCAGGTAGTGTCTCATTCTGTTGTCCATAGGGCCACTATGAGTTGGAACTAACTCAACAGCAGGAAACAACAATCCTACAATGGGTTCAAATATTAGCTATTCCACTATCTGACCTTAAGTCTAGTGCCTCCTAACTCTGAGGTTGTATGATTCTACAATGCAGAAAGCTAGAGTGGTGTTTTGTTTATGGTTGTGTGTCTGGGGGACTGACCACAGTGAGTGAGGTGGATGCAGGACTTGGAAGTTATTGTTTATTTCATTTGTGAGCAGGAAGAAAGATACCAGAACAATGTTAATAGGATAGGAAGGAGTGAGAGTCTGCTTCCAAAACAGAAAACCCAAAATGTGGAAACAAAGACATCACCATATACTATAAGGAAAGATCCTCAAAATGCCAGTCCCTAGATATCGAGGAAAGGGTACATATGTACAGTAGTCAGTAGCCTCTGTTTAGTAAAACAGGGAGTATGTTCAACATCCCAGGAATTTGTTCACTGTGTAGGTTCCAACTTTTACAGATTTTGATGTTCAAAGAATATTTTATTCTTTCATGGAAAATTCACTTACATTAAATTTTTGAATCCCCAATAACACTAAATACATGAGCTATTGTAGGATCCTTTGGAGTCTTGGTGTGATACAGCAGGAGAAGTGGACCTTATCCTCTTTGAACTGCAAGGTTAATGGTTCAAACTCACCAGTTGCTTTCCAGAAATCCTATACAGCATCACTATGACCCATAACCAACTCAACTGCACTTAACAATAATAGGATCTTTTGAACTGATAAGTCAGTTCCAATATTTCCTATTTATGACTCCACGGTACATATAACCACCACCATCATCATCAATGAAATTCACCCACAAGATAGTTATTAATTATTGTTGTTGTTAAGTACCATGGAGTCAGTTCTGACTCATAGTGACCCTGCACAGGTTTTCCAAGGTTGCAACTCTTTATGGGAGCAGAAAGCCTCATCTTTCTCCCATGAACAGCTGGTAGTTTCAAACTTCTGACCTTGAGGTTAGCAGCCTGATTCATAACCACTACACTACCAAAGCGAAGTGACCCAACGAAATGCGGAAATCATCGGACACTATTTTTAAAATCCTATGCGAGTAAAGTTTTACTAAAGGTAATACAGAAACGGCTGCAAGCATACATTGGCAGAGAACCTCCAGAGGTTCAAGATGCATTCGGAAGAGGACGTGGAATGAGGGATATCATTGCTGATGTCCGATGGATTTTGGCTGAAAGCAGAGAATATCAGAAAGATATTCAGAAAGACCTGTGCTTTATTGACTACGCAAAGGCTTTTGATTGTGTGGATCCTGACAAGCTCTGGACAACATTGCGAAGTATGAGTATTCCAGAACACTTAATTGTGCTCATGAGGATCTCTACATGGACCAAGAGGCAATTGTTCGAACAGAACATGGGAACACTGAATGTTTTAAAATTAAGAAAGGTGTGTGACAGGGTTGTATTCTTTCACCATACTTATTCAACCTGTATGCTGAGCAAATAATCCAAGAAGCTGGGTTCTATGAAGAAAAACATGGCATCAGGATTGGAGGAAGACTCATTAACAACCTGTGATATGCAGATGATACAACCTTGCTCGCTGAAAGTGAAGACAACTTAAAATATTTACTGATGAAGATCAAAGAGCACAGCCTTCAGTATGGATTGCATCTCAATGTAAAGAAAACAAAAATCCTCACCACTGGACCAATAAACAACATTCTTATCAATGGAGAAAAGACTGAAGTTGTCAAGGACTTCATTCTTCTTGGGTCAACTACCAACACTCATGGAAGCAGCAGTCAAGAAATCAAATTTGCATTAGGCAAATCTGCTGCACAATACCTTTTTAAAGTGTCGAAGAGCAAAGATGTCAGGTTGAGGATTAATGTGCGCCTGATCCAAGCCATAGTATTTTCAATAACCTCATATGAATGTGAAAGCTGGACAGTGAATAAGGAAGACCGTAGAAGGATTGATGTATTTGAGTTATGGTGTTGGAGGAGAATATTGAAAGTGCTATGGGCTGCCAAAAGAACCAACAGATCTGTGTTGGAAGAAGTGCAGCCAGAGTGGTCCTTGGAGGTCAGGATGGCCAAACTTCATCTCTCATAGTTCAGACATATTGTCAGGAGGGAGAAGTTGCTGGAGAAGGATATCATGTTTGGTAAGGTGGAGGGTCAGAGAAAGAGAGGAAGACCCTAAGCAAAATGAATTGGCAAAGTGACAGCATCAATGGGCTCAAGTGTGGCAACAATAATGAAGTTGGCCCAGGATCGGGCAGTGTTTCGTTCTGGTGTGCATAAGGTTGCTATGCATCGGTACTGACACGATGGCACCTAACAACAACAACAATTGAAATGTATGCCATCTTTAGAACAGAGCAAGGGAACACTGAATTGTTTTAAATCAGAAGATGTGTGTCAGAGTTGTATCCTTTTACCATACTTACTCAATCTGTATGCTGAGCAAATAATGCAAAAAACTGGATTGTATGGAGAAGAGCATGGCTTCAGGATAAGAGGAAGACTCACTAATAACCTAGGATATGCAGATGATACAACCTTGCTTGCTGAAAGTGAAGAGGATTTAAAATACTTACTGATGAAGATCAAAGACTATAGCTTTCTATATGGATTGCACCTCAATGTAAAGAAAACAAAAGTCCTCATAACTGGGTTAATAAATAGCATCATGATAAATGGAGAAAAGATTGAAGTTGTCAAGACTTCAATTTGCTTGAATCCACGATCAAGGACACAGTAGTCAAGAAATCAAAGGGCATATTGCATTAAGCACATCTTCTGCAAATGAGTTCTTTAAAGAATCCAAAAGCAAAGATGTCAGTTTGGGAGATAAAGTGCACCTGACCCAAGCTATGGTATTTTAAATAGCCTCAGATGCATGCAAAAGTTGGACAGTGAATAAGAAAGACTAGAAAAATCAATACATTTGAGTTATGGTGTTGATGAAGAATATTAAAAGTACCATGGACTGCCAAAAGGACAAAGAAACGTAGCTTAAAATAAATCTAGCTTGAAATGTTGCTTAGAAGAAAGGGTGGCAAGACTTTATCTCTTGTTATTTTGGACATATTATCTGAAAAAAGACACCATACTTGGAAAGTTGGAGGTTCGGTGAAAAAGAGGAAGACAGTGAACAAGATAGACTGAGCAACAAGGGGCCCAAACATAACTGTGAAGATAGTGCAGAGCTGAGCAATGGTTTGTTTTACTGTGCTTAGAGTCACTATGAATCGGATCTGAATCGGTAACACCTAAAAACATTGATTCATGTCTTCCCAATTCATCTTTTACCCCCACCTCCCACCCACCCAGTTCTCTAGACTTCTGGGCAAGCACACACATTTTCAAGTCAATATTCTCCAGACCTTCATAATTGGTGCCTTCAAGATCTAACGGTCTTTGGCTTGAGAATTAGGGTGAAAAATTGTAACAAAGGTCTTTGTTCAAATTCTATTTTTACTTGATTTGTTACTCATTTTACTTGGTCCCAATTTAATGTCATTTATATTCAAGTCTTGTATGCATAAAATAAACACTATTTCTACAGATTAACAAGTCTGTAGGGCTTTACCATTTTAAAGCATTTTTATGTACATTAACTAATCTGTCCACCATGATGCCAAAAGATGTTTAAGGAGATCAATGAGAAGTGAAATGATGGGAAGATGCCCCTTTGGTGTTTTTATTAGTTACCCTGGAGATGATTCTGACTTAGTGGCAGGAGTGACAAAAGGAAAGGAATTAAAAGCTCAAATGGGATTTGAGTATTTTTTGTTGATTTCATTATCCATGTTTTCCCTGCCTTCTCTTCCAATTATCATTCTCATTAAGAAACTAATGAAGAGTTTACTGTTTTTGATAATTCATGATGTTGAAGTGCCTATAAAGGGAAATAGTACATACGCATTCTGTTAGTGGGAATATCAACTATTACTTTTTCATAGGACATTTTGTGATATGTATCAATACTTCAAATGTGTATATCCTTTGTCCTAATTATAGCACATAAATATTATTATATATAGTAACAAAGGTTGTGAAAATGTACTGTCTACCAATGAGAGACTGACTTGTTTAGTAAATAATGGTGTGATAATGCAATGGAAAGCTCACCAGCCATAAAGAAAACAAATGAGATTGAGTGGTATTATTCAGACACAGATTCATCTCCAGGATATATTGTTTTGTGAAAAGAGCAAGGTCCAGAATGATGCATATAGAATGCTACCATTTGATTGACTTGTATTCTTGTACATGATTGGAATAATTCTGGAAGGCTGTACACACACTTAGTGAGGTGGGTGCCTCCAGGGAGGCAGACAAGGGGATTAGAGATTAGTGATAGGAAGGAGGTAGAATTTTCCTTATACAGTTGACCTTTGAACAACATGGGGACTAAGGGTCACCAACCCTGTGCATTTGAAAACCCCAGGATGACTTTGACTCCTCCCAAACTTAACTACTTATAGTCTACTTTTGACCAGTAGTCTTTTAACAGTAACACAAACAGTCAATGATACATATTTTGTATGTTATATGTAGTATATGGACGCTTGGTGTGGTACTGTAGGAGCAGCACTGGACTTCAAACCACAGCTTGGCAGTTCAGACTCACCAGATGCTCCTCAGAAACCCTATACAGGGTTACTATGAGTCAGAACCAACTCTGGTAGCGTAGTGGTTACGAACTGGGCTGTGAACTTCAAGGTCAGCAGTTCAAAAGTACCAGCTGTTCCGCAGGAGAAAGATGAGGCTTTCTGCTCCCATAAAGATTTACAGCCTCAGAAATCCTGTACAGGGTCGCTATTCGTCAGAACTGACTCCATGGCACCTAACCATAACCAACAAGCAGCAGCAAATGTAGTATATGCAGTCCTGGTATGGACCTGTAGAACAAGCATTGGACTGCTAACTTCAAGGTCACTGTGAATCAGAACCTACTCGAAGGCACTTAATAACAACATACTTTATATAGTGTATCTGCATAACAGCTATATTTTCAATGTGAGATAAAATAGTATTTCACAAAAAGTGCCAGGTATCGTGCCTGCTGTCATAGCTGGTTTCCTTTTTCTACAATGGTCTTGACACTGGATTCATTCATCCTGAAAAGTGCAGACCTCCATCTATGGTACATACCAAGAAATCCAACATTTTCTTATAACTTTTCTCTGCTTCTTAGGGGCACTTCCAGCATCACTAGTGGCACTTTGTATGGGTCCATGGTGTTGCTGATACACAATTTATTACAGACAAACTGCTCATGCAGAAATGATTAGGTTCACACAGCGATTTTTTTTAAATCCACATATAAATGGACCCACACAGTGCAAATCCATATTGTTCAAGGGTCAGCTATATATTCTTTTGCATCTCTCGTTATGTTTCATCTGTATTGTTTTGTTGTTATTGTTTTGTTGTTGTTGTTAAGTGCCATTGAGTTGGTTCTGACCCATAGCAACCCTGTATAGGGTTTCCAAGCAGTAGTTGGTGAGCTTGAACCACCAGCCTTACGGTTCAAACTGATTTTTATAGTCCAGCACATTAATCCACAATGTCACACCAGGACCCCTTGTCTTTATAAAACTATGCAATATTTTGATTTGGAAAAAAAAATTAAGTGTATTTGATCTTTGGAATTTCTTATCTCCTTTTGATGGTTTTCCTAACAATTCCTACACAGCTTATTAAAAACACAAGTGTTTCACTCTGCAACCCAGTCTACCTAGCTCAAGGCTGATGTCTCAATAATCCAAATTCAATCCTGTCATTTTTTAAAAAAATACAAGACCCAGTGAATGAATTTAGGTTTATAAGAAATCAGAAAATGAATCTATGAAAGCAGAGCACTGCATTTAAAATTAAGAGGAATTCCTTGCTTTGTTTTTCCATTATCTTTCTGGAAACTCATTTAGAAACTCAACATTCTGTGTTTACAAGGAAGTTCAGAGAGTTTGCTGTGGGCTTGGAGGAAGAGCACACCATTTCTGTTTGGCTGAAGGTCACTACAGCATGAAGGTGATGGTGAAGAGGATGTTGGTGAGCTCTATGACTTACTTCATTGTAAAATGGGCTGTTGGTTCCTTCCTTCACTGTGCTTTGCTTCTTGTCATCCCCAATCTCAATGATCACAACTGGGTCAATGTTCTCACCCACCAGCTGGCGGGCCTCAATGATGGTGATGGCAATCTGTAACACAAATCTGTGTCTTAGCTGTCCTGGAAGTCATGATCATTCAACTCAAGAACAAGGGGAAATGAGAGCACGGAGAGCCAATCACTTACTTGATAATTCTGGGATTTGACCTCCCCATCATGGATCTTAGTCACCAGTTTTGATCTATTAAGAGAAAGTTTCATATATTTATTTCATCAAGTGAGAATAGACTTTGGATTTATACATTACTGTCATGTGTTGTCATGTTGAGTCCAACTCCTAGTGACCCCCTAGGGTTTTCTTGGACCTTTACAGAGAGACTTTGTCCTGTGGACCCATTGGTAGGTTCAAACTGCCAACCTTCTGGTTAGCAGCTGAGCACTTAACCACTGCCAAACCAGGGCTCCTTTAGATTCATACATCTTTATAGTATTTCCCCAAATCATCCCAAGTGCTTGCTTTTATATCATACCACATAATTTCTCTGTATCTCTGGGGGAGATAAGTATAAATGGACGAATGACTTAACACTTCTATGTCCCAGTGGCCCCACCGTAGAAAAGTGGAGCTAGAAATATCTCCTACCAGATCAGGTGACTGCTAGAACTAAGTATCATACATATAAAGGTTTGGGAGTACAATGGCTCAGGAGGGTTAAGCATTGGACTGTGAACTACATGTCAGTGACTAGAGCCCACCAGCTGCTCCACCACAAAGATTTACAGCCTCAGAGACACTATGAATCAGAACCCACTTGACAGCACTTATCAACAATATGGAGATTTAGCCCAGTGTCTGGTACCTGGCAAGAATCAACGTTAGCTCTTATTATAAGTATGACTCTAAGTATTGTTTATTTTCTGTTTTATAGATGGAGAGATGAAGTTGGCTTAGCAAGACAGTGGCAGAGCTGGGCCTAAATAAGGGCTTTTCAACCTGAGGTTTTGCCATTTCTAGTAGATATTACAACTCTGAGTTTCATAATTGCTTTTGAAAGAATTGGTAAAGGAGAAAATTGGAAGGAATGACCAAGATGGCATCTCAGTGAGGTTTCCCATTCCAGGGGATTTCATTTATCTGGGCTGTCACAGGTAATTGAGAACAGATGTGCAAAACCTAGGCATTTAAAGATTGGATAACAATATAGAGAGATGAGAAATCCCTGTTGTCTCAGAAGCAGCAATAAGTAGAAATGAACTGAATTCCAGTTCCTATTGAATTTTGTTCCCTTGACACCTAAGCAATACCATCCTGCATTCTACTTCATCCTCTTTCTGCTGATTATAATTGAACCTAGTAGAGAATAGAGTAAATAAGCAGAGATCCAAGACTTTGGAGTCAGACTGATGCGGGTTACAGTATTTGCTCTCCCAAGTTGTATGACTCTGGGAAAGTTCACGAGCTTTAACTCCTCCTTCTCCAAGTGGAAATAGTAATTCTTACTTCATGGGTTGCTCTGAAAATTCAAGGAGGTAGAGTGCAGGTAGGAAATGGGAGGTATCACTGAATATTAGTAATCAATGAAGTGGCAAATTCATATTGGTTATTTACTATGGAAAGTTCTGCACTAGGGTTGTTTTGTTGTTGTTGTTAAGTGCCTTCGAGTCGGTTCCGACCCATAGCGACCCTGTACAGGGTTTCCGAGGGTGTAAATCCTTACGGGAGTAGAAAGGGTTGTTTAGGGGGAATACAAAGATGAATAAGGCATGGTCTTGACCCTTGTGAACTATCTAGGGGAGAGAGGACCAAATTGTATAAAGAGAGAGCTAGTATGTAAGTATATGAGTGAAGCATGTAATTGGCAAACTGTGGCAAGACTTCAAAGGAGAGGGAAATTCCTGAGGATCAGAGTAAGGTACCAAGACTTCACTGCCGAGGTTGGCTGTGAACTGAGCATTGGTAGGTACAATCTCGATGGACAGAGCCTGGACCAACCAAAGAGACAGATCAAGACTGCTATTCCTGGTTTCTTTTTGTCTTGCCTTCCTCCACTTGAGGCTGTTATCCTGGTGAAATAAGTGGCAAAGGACACATTTAAGGTTATTCAACACCTGCTCATGGGGCTGGGAGTGGAGGTGGTTAGTATGGTGCAGCCCAGGGAAAGGAGGTAGAGTGTCAAGTGCATACAAATCTCCTGTCTCCTCTGAAGTACCGACCTCTGAGCTGTCTGTCACCTTCTCTAATTGCCACTTGCTTCCTAATCCCCCCCTTTGCTTCATACACATATCCACTGCCAACTTGCTGGAGCCCAGAAACAACAACTCCGGATCTGCCACATAGAGAAGTATTCATTTACTTATTTATTTTTTTAATTATTAATTTTCCCACTCTGGGTGGGAAAAGAATGGAAGAGCATGAGGGCTTATCATTGAGTAAGAAATTGGCATAAACAAATATGGTGGACAGCTTTGATAACCCCAGTTACTCATGCTCTGGGCCCTGTATTGTTGTCATTCCCTCTCACTCTGAGGTGGGCAGGCCTTGTGACTTGTGTTGGCCTGGACAATGCAGCAAAATGACTCTTGCCAGTTCTGAGCCTAGACTTCAATTGATCCTGTGTCCTTCCCCATCTCTCCTAGAATCCTACCATTGCCACCATGTCAAGTTAGTCTGCTGGAGGACCTCAGATCAACGGGAAGGGATTCCAGTGGTCTCCAGTGAAGTTCTCAGCAGAGCTGCCAATCTAACTTATAAGCTGACTATAGACACACAAGTGATGAGTCTCTGATGAGCTGGGACCAATAATAATACCCAACTGACCCAGAGACTCATCAGAAGTATCACATAGTCTCTCTACAGCTTATATTAAGCCTCCCTTTTAGGGGAAGATTTGTAACATATTGATAGCTAACTGATACAACAAATTGCATGCAGAGCCCAGTTTGTTTTGCCCTCTTGTTGGATAGTATAGAAACCACCTTTTCTTTGGCGACAAACACAGAACTTGGATAAAACTTTTTAAAGAGCAGGTAAGTGGCAGCTCCTGTCACCTGTTACTGATGGAGAGGGAGGGTCCCAGGTCTGCTGACAATTGGCGAGTACTGAAAGTCCCATAGCCATCAGAAAACTGAGCTAGCATGGAACTAGCTCTCTTCATGTTGTAGACATTCAGTTTCTCGAGGACAGAGATTAGGTCTTATTCTTTTCTTTCTTCCCTGAGCCTGCAGGGCTACCTGACATACATTGTTAAGTGCGGTTGAGTTGGTTCCAACTCATAGCAACCCTATATAGGGTTTCCAGGGAATGACTGGTGAGTTTGAACCACTGACCTTGTGGTTCAAATCAACCTTACGGTCCAATACTTTATCCCACAGGGCCACACCAGGGCTCCCTGACATATTTGAGGTGCTTATTCACCCCACTTAGTGTACCTTCTCTTCAGAGCCACTGAGGGGGCAAGAGTGGTGGAAGTATCATTAGAAATCAGATCTCCTTCCAGTCCTTCCTGGTGAGACGGTGCCCCCTGGGATGTTTCTGCTTCACCTTGACCATCTAGAGAAGCAAAGACAGAAATTAAACCCTGTTAAATAGGAAGCAGGTCATCTGAGTGCATAGTCTGTGTCTAGCACCATGTCAGACACCATAGGGGCACAAGAGAGTGGAAGACACCCCTACCTGCATGAAACGTTCTATGTTTGTCTCCAAATAAGTTGTTCTCTCTGAGTCTCCCAGAGACGACCAATTTTGAGCAGCAAGGGTTTAGAAAAACATAAATGGATCTTTGACATTTTTTAGATGCCCTTCCCATAAATAGAGACTCTGATTTAATGAGCTTGGGTGTTACCTAGATGTGGTTTTTTGTTTTCATTTTTTTAAGTCTCCAGGTGATTCTACTGCATAGCAAAGCTTGAGAGCCATGCCTCAGCCTCACCTGGAACAGAGAACAGGTGGGGAAGATGAAGACTAGGTCTGGAAGGGCAAATCGAAGAGTCTGCTTCACAAGGTCCACCATTGTACACCCAGAACCTAGCACAGAATTCGACACTTAGCAGATATCCCATTAATATTTGTAGAATACATGAATGGAAGTACCCAGTAATGATTTCTTGGACAGTTATTTAATGGGTGGAGGTGGCGGTTATGTGCTGTGGAGTCAGTTCCAACTCATCATGACCCTGTATAGGGTTTCCAAAGCTGCAAACTTTTACAAGATCAGAATGCCTCATTTTTCTCCCATGGAACGGCTGGTAGATTTGAACTGCCAACCTTGCAGTTTGCAGCCCAAAATATAACCCGCTGTGCTACCAGGGCTCCTTATTTAGTGAATACTTGAGAGTATTTGAATTTTTTTTTTTTAAATTAAGGCATAGCCACTATTCCTTAAAATATGCAGATAAGTAGAGACACTGAGGATAGCCTAACATTTCACCCAGAAAAGCCTTAACTTCCTAAGCCAGCTAAGAAGGAAAGACCAAAGTTCTATCAACTTTGTTTTGTCAGCCCTCCTTACAGGCTGGCCCGGGTCAGAAGGATAGATGTTATTTACTTTCTAGGAGGGTCCTGATCCTTGCTACCCTGTTTGCTTTGTGGGCTAAAGACTCGAATTAGAACGAACCACAGGAGCCAGACAGACTCATGAGGAGATCACAGCTTCTCTGAAAATGTCTGCCAGTTGTTTGTTGCCTCTCCCGAGCAATCAGCAATGGCTCCTAACCGGAGGTTGTCCTTGGGGTAGGAAAGTCCAAGCTTTGTTGTAAGACTGACCTGGACTCAAAAGCCAACTTCTCCATAGCTGTGTGACTTTGGATAAGTCACTCACTTTCTCTGAACCTCTGTTGTAAAGTGGGGGCATTTCAGGAATGTGAATAATGCATGGCATGTGTAGAATGCATCCGGATCTAAATGTGTCATAAGTATTGCTATTTTTTTAATGTTAGCTGCCAAGTTAGGGAATGTGACTTCTTCAACCCTTTGTTCCCAGAATTAACTGCAGTGTCATAATTTCAAGGGCAACCAGGAAAGACCCCTAAGAACTTTCCGTCCAGCCACTGAAGCCTTCAATGTAACTACTTCTGTTTAGCTTTAAACCTGTCCTTACTTAAAATTTAACACTACTCCCTTTTCTTAATCTTGGCCAGTTCTTTATCATTATTAGCTAATAACACTTTAATATGAATGAGTTTCCAGACTCTTACTGTAAGAATAGGTTGCTCCTGAGAGCAATGGGTGGAATGAGGTGGGACATACAGCCACAGGACACTTGATGTGGTGGGCAGTAAAGGAGGTCTCCCACTGAGGAAGCAAGAGAGATGAAGAGAAATAAGACCCACTTCACCATTTTGGTTAGGTGAATAATCCAGAAATGTAAACCTGAAGAGGCTGTTGTCGGGGCCCACCACAGAAGTCTCCAGAGGCCTGCATGGAAACAGTTCAACTGACTCGATTTGATAAACATGAAATGCCTTAGCTGAGGAGTGCATGGGGAGGTGGGGGTGCAGCACTGTTTAGCATGTTCAGTTGCTAACTGAACGTTTGGCAATTCAAGTCTACCCGGAGGTACCTCAGAAGATCTACTTCCAAAAACTAAGCCATGGAGCACAGTTCTACTCTTACGCATGTGGGCTAGCCATGTGTTGGGAGTTGACTCAAAGGTAACTGACAAGTGGTCTGTGGTGGGCCTGGCCTCCACCAGCACGGTTCACACATCACAAAGTCTTTTCCAGAAAGTCAGACAGCCTGGATCCACAGCCCAACTCACTGCTTCCTGGTTTTGTGCCTCCCAGCTCAGAGCCAGCTCTGCTGTCGCCATCTTGAAATTCTTTAGCGCCTTAACACATGGCTCTGCTTTTCATGCAACCAATCCGTTCCACACTTTATTGAATCTCTGCCCCTCATGTAAAACCAAGCTACTAAATTGCACCTGCTGAGACAGTGGAGGGTCTGAATGAGACCGTATCTCTGAAGCATCTTTATTTTTTCTGTTTTATTGTGAATTATGTGATAGCTTACATGGGAGAACATTAGCTTTACATTCATCCTATCGTATATCATTTTGTTGCCATGGTTACAATCCCTTCCATGCATCATCAATGAACCAAAAGGTATACCCTGCAAGCCTGTCCCCTAGTCATCAGTACACAGCCCCTCTCCCTCTCTGGGTCTAGAGTCCTCAGCCACTCCATCTCTCTATGTCATTGTCTCTGCCTCTATCTCCGACATCACTGCTTCTCTGGGTAGGGTCCCACTCTCTGCTCTTCTCCCTTGATGGTCCCAGGGACCTCTGCTCCTAGACTGCAATGCAAAGTTAATCACTCTCCTTCTTGCTATAAAATGTCTACCTTTACATTTCCAACCCTCACAATCAGTCCTGATAACAATTATTCACTATGGTATCACAAGAGACCTATCCTCATTTCATCAGCCCCACCTAGACAGATTGTATACTACTCAGTGGAGATTCTACCTTCCTCCATGCCCTCTGGATCTAGGTTCCCTCTTGAAAGCTTATAAGCCAGTCACTTCTTGCCTTTGTAGCTGCCACCCCCCACCCACCCATATTGGGTAGCTAATGTCCAAATTGCCCATCCCTGTCTACTCTGTGTATGGAGGGGATGGGAATGATCATTGCTGTAAAGATTTGTTCCTTCTTTGAAGCTACTGCATCCATAGGTGTAGATCAAGTTCATCAAATTGTATCAGATTACTCTGGTGTTTTGTTTTTTTTTTCCTCTTCTTTCTTCTTCTAGTTGAGCTCTGATCAACCAGTCACTGAAGCCAAGTCAAATGGGTATTATCTACAAGTGTGTGTTCTTGTGTATATGCCCTCTCTTCTTATCAGCTGGATGCTTCACTCTCCACTCTAGTCCTCTGTGACTGTCACTGACTCTGGACCAAAGAGTTCCCAGGTCTTGCAACACTGCTGGCCAACCAGGTCTCCACCAGGGTTCACAAGAGTCTATTGGACCTTGTAGGGCTTCGTTCGCAGCTTCATTGCTGTTTTTCCTTCACTTTCCCTTCTCGGTGACAAATGAACGTGGTCACCAATCAGAGCATGTATTCCCATTGAGTCTTACTTGGAAGAGGTTTTGCTCTGAGGGGACCCAACTACTTGCCTTGATGTTCCTGGGTGAGGAACTTGCTTGTTCTTGTAGTATAATCAGTCGGTCTGCCTACATTGTTTGATATTTTTCCTGTCAGTCTTTCTTTCAAGAAGTATCTTTTGTTCTTCTAGCCACTCCAGGCTGGTCTGCCCGTCCTTTCAAGTGGAAAGTTCCCACTTCTGAAGATTCTGGATGCTGTTCAGGATTCCACCTATGGTCTTATATAATGCAGAGGCTCTGCAGGAAGCTAGTTGGCACACTGTAGCCCCATTTTAGGTATTCCAATCCATTATAGGCAGAACACAGATTTGGAAGCTTTCTGTGGTGATATTTCTGGCTATTCCTTTCTCTCCCCCTCAAGTGTCTATTTTATAATGGTATGCCAGGGAAACCAAGATTCTCTGAAGCCTCTTGCGGAAGCTTCTCCCTTAGTAGCTGCTTTCCTCACTCTTATTTTCAAAATATCTCTACAGTCAACACCTCACGTGATCTCCACCACAGCTACGTGAGGTCTGCCCAGCAAACCATCTGACAGAGTGAGAAGCTGAGGCTCAGAGCTGCTGAGTGGCTTAGCGTGGGCTACAGAGCCCAGTAGAGTAGACAGCGGAGGTTGAAGCTTGTCACTGCGTCCTCATCAGGGCCCCTTCCATGGCCTCAGATACCCCATCCCCACCCACTCCTGTCTGACCCAATGACCTGGGTCATGGCGCCCACCCCTGTGACTGGCCCTGGGTCAGGACCAGCAGGCAGCATATTTCTGGTCTCCCTCTGATGAGTGAAGAGAAGGCTGCAGGCTCAGCCAAGGAGGGTCCACTCCATAGCCCTCAGGTCCGAGGCAGTAGTCAAATCCCCTTAGAAAGCCTCACCTTGTGCAGCTGTGTTGGCTAGGGTCAACCCCTTGTCTGCTTTCTTCTTCTTCTTCTTCAGCTTCCCAAACATCCCCTTTCTGAAAAGAAGAAGAAAATCTAAATGGTACAGCTGTAGTCCCTTGGTGTCTTTCCATCATGTTTTCAGTTCCTATAGATTCTTACTCATGGTAACCCCATGTGTTTCAGAGTAGAACTGCACTCCACAGGGAGAAAGTAAACACACACACACACACACACACACACAGGTCCTACTGCAGGAGAACCTGCCTCCTAGCCTGCGAGGATGATTGAAGTCAAGAGACAAGTGTTGGGAGGACTCAGTTGGCACTCCAGAGAACTCCGCTTTTACAGAAACTAAGAAAACCCCACCTAAGTGGAAACCAAGAGCTCCACCTGGCACCGCACTTAAAGAAAGAATAGTGCAAATATTAGCAACAATAGCCGGTGTTTGTCCTATTCTCCCTGTGCCAAGCACTCAAAGGAATGGTATAATTTCATAATCACAGTAACTCTATAGTACCCATCTTAGAGATGAGAAACCAAGGCCCAGAGTGGGTAAGTAAGGTTTCTAAGGTTCCACCATTCCTGAGCAGAAGCATTATCAACAGAACCCAGATCAATCCAATTCAGAGCCCAGACTCTAACTACAAGGCAATCCCGAGTCTCTCAGTTCCCCTGAGCAGACAGAATATGCCTGTCAGAGCTGGACAAGCAGCCTTGAGACTTAACAAGGTCATATCACAAACATACAACTCAGCTGACACATTGTATGTACCAAAAATGTCAGCTACTATGGGCAAATATATACCCCACTATACCACCAGGGCTCCAGTGAAACACCTAGAACCAAAAAGCCTCCCCCCAAACAAACCCAAACCCCCTCTCATTGACTCTGTTCCCACTCCTAATAACCTGTAAAATTTTCTGAGGCTATAAATCTTTACAGGAGTAGAAAATCTCATCTTTCTGCTGCAGAGTGGCTGGTGCGATTGAACTACTGACCTTGTGGTTAGCAGTTCAGTGCTTCCTCTAAAGCCCGGCTAGCCTATTATATAGAAAGTGCTGAGTAAGTATCAGGAACCATCTTGAAGGTAACATTTATTCCCCTTGGATTTGCCTTCATTCTGTTTGATACATTAACTCCAGGGAAGCTCTGGAGAACATACACAAGGAGGATTCCTGTTTTCTAAAACAGAACTTCCAGCAGTAGTTCTTACTATTGTATTTTCAAAGGGTAGTTAGCCAGCAGAAGACCCAAAGGAGAAAAGGCCAGGGCCTCCTAAACTCTGCCTTGGTAAGTGGTCCCAAGGGCCTGTGCCATTATCATTTCACACAGACAGAATCCTACATTCCTAGGAACTTGCCTCAGTGATTACTTGAAAAGGGTGAGTTACTCCTATCCACCAACAGAAACTTGTTACTAATGGTGGAATCTACCAGAAGGAGGTGGAACACTCCTTTAGAAGCAGCCATCTTCTTGTGGTTGTCCTCAGCATTCCAGACTCTTCTAGAGGAAAGCCAGTGATGGAGACATTGAACCATGCCCAATGCTGCTGCCTCAGACAGAGGAAGAGGGAGACACCCTACCTCTTAGAGATCTTGACTCTGGCTGTTCATTAGAGTCACTTAAGGAAGCTTTAAAAGTACTGATATTGGGATCTCACCTTCACAGACGCTCTGATTTCACTGAGCTGGTGTTGGGATGCTCTTGTTAGAGCACACCCCCAGACCCTCCTACAGAGTAAGCCAAAGAATCCTTCCAGCGATGCTCAGAGGACTTACAACCAGATTGACCCTCTTGGGTGGGTTGATGTTTGTTCCACAAACACAAGATCATTTTTCTGAAACTGATTGTTAGTCATCAAGGGAACTCCCAGTATGACTTTCAGCAGGAAAAGGCTTCCAGCTGCAACCTGATTTCTCCTCCACTGCCCCATGGCCTCCAGAAGTAGATGGGAGACGCTGCTCACCAGCCCAGAATGTTGGTTGCACTGGAATGTTGGAATTTGAAGACACAAGACCCAGTTCAGGGGACCTGCTTGAATCCATTTGCTAGATCTAGAATTTGGAGTTGGATACTGAACTCAGAGAAGCATGCTTCTTCACATGTGACACAAGACATTACTCAATTTCCTACCCAATTCAAGGGAGGAATATGCGAAATATAAAATAGAAAGTGGCAAGCGTGCTATGTTACAGATTACTACAATGTCAATGGCAGGGAATGTGCTATGCTACCCTATACAGGGTCACTATGAGTTGGAACTGACTCAACAGCATTTAACAACAGTAACAATTCCCCCTGAGTGAGTTTAACTGAGCACTTACTATGTACCAGGAACACCTCTTTACCCACATTATTGCTTTGTATTACCACCTCATATCCCAAGGTAGACGCTTATTAACATCCTTGTCTTACAAACAAGAAGTCTTCAGAGTTTTCCAGTCAGTAGACTTGGATCAACCAGCAGTTCAGGAAGACTTACCTGGTAAGTCTCCATGGCACACAACCCCCTCTCCAGTTTGCTGAGAATTCCAGCATGCGTGCTCTCCCATTTGGCAAAAACGATGGAGATCTCTGGTTTAGGATCTATTGAATCATCTCCCAGAGACACCCCATGATTAGTTGCCACACACACACACAGAAACCCCCATACCAACCTGTTCTCCTCAGGGTGAAAGCTACCATGAGTCCGATATCTGTATCCAAACAACAAGAACATTAAGTATGGCACATGTTAGGTTTGCATCAGCATATCTTTTCAAGGTGGCATTGCTTCAGGTTGAAGCACAGGGACTGAATTGCCAGCGAGGCAGCCAGCCTGGCAGAGAGAAAGAGGAGCCAGACAACTGGAGTTTGGGTCTCATCTAAACCACTTTGTAACTATGTCACTGGAGTTGGCTGGGTGAGTGCTCTGAGCTTCAGATCCTCTTCTGTGGGAAGTAGCAATAAAGTTAACTTGGCCTTCTTCTCTGGAACTTCATATGTATAATGCTGTCATTATAAACTGTTAGGAACTCTGCAAAGAGTTCAATTAATGTCATGCTCATGAATTAGGAGCACCAGAATGAGACAAGGACTCACAACCAGAGTTGCCAAGTGGTTTCCCACTCATGTCTCTAGATTTTCTTGCTGGACTCACCTTTTCTGTATTCAGTGCAAAAAAGAAGCTGCTTGGGCCAAATAGCCAAACAGCAAGTTGATTGTGTCAATGTGGCTTTTGCTTGTCCCTCCCCCACCTAAGAAGAAGTAAATGCAGCGTACTGTGCACCTTAACTTTCTAACCCTAAGCCAGAACACCCAGGATGGATGAGGGGAAAACAAAACAATTGTATGATTTGTGAACTTATTTATATGATAAGGGAACTTTTCCATGAACATACATTTAATACAATTTCTTTATCCAAAGAATGAACTTGCTTATAACTGGATCTATCTTGAAAACAAAACAAAACAAAATCAGTTGGCTTTATGGATGACTAGGCACCAAATTTAATTAAATTTTTATCCTTATCTCATACCACATACAAAAATAAATTCCAGATGGATTTATTTTTAAAGATTAAAGGTAGACCATAGGAGAAGAAAACATATATTCTTAACTTTGGATTAAGTAAGATGATCTTCAATAGGACAAGGACAAAAAAAAAAAATGCATGAACAAAAATGAAAAAGACAAGGATCATTCCCACCCCCCTCCAAACACAGAGTAGACAGGGATGGGCAACTTGGACATTGGCTATCCAAAATGGGGGTGCTACAAAGGCAAGAAGTGACTGGCTTACAAGTTTTCAAGAGGAAACCTAGATCCATTGGGCATGGAGGAAGGTAAAATCTCCACTTAGTAGTATACAATCTGTCTAGGTGGGACTGATGAAAGGAAATGCGGAT